CTTGGTTTTAAGCTGAAATTACTCCCATTTCCAGTCATATTCTTAAACACTGAAACATTTAAACCTTGTTTGACAGTGATAAATAAACATCTGTGTGCAAAATATTTGATGCAAACATTTTTCTCATGAAAACAAACTCTTCTCAAAAAGCACAAAGATTGCATTTTTGGTCTCTTACTGGGATCTATACTATTTTTTGCAGATTTGCAAGATTTCATGTGACACTGAAGCAACTGATGTGAAGCAATATTATCAAGAGTGTGTGTGCTCCAAGGAAAACACACTATTGATTGTGTTTTCTAAGGAGAATCTGCAAGCTGATGTTTCTACTGCATGTTCACGTTGGATTGTTGCAACAGTGTGTAATGTGAAATGCACAGCATTACAGTATGTAGCAGTATGAAATATCGCATGGCCTTTAATAAGTTGGGAAGATATGATCAAATATAAATTTGCTGTAAACTTTTTATAACAGTGTGGTATAGTGCTGGATTGATTCTTAAAATAGAAACTGAAACCATTAATAATCCTGTAAAATCTTTTATTGGAAAAAAACAACAACAACAACAACAACAATAATCAGTACAACCTTTTAATTTTCCAAATTCCTTGCCAGCAACAATCAACACAAAGGTTTCCAAACTCAAACAACTTTGACCTGTCAAAGACTATATTGATGTTTGCTGTCCAAAAACTGCTACATGATAAATTATTCAATAAATAAACACTGGAAGAAATAATTATGTTAGATTGTCTGTCTGTAGATCTTTTAGACTTTGTCACAAGGGCAGCGTAACTGTAAATAGACATGACTGTTTTTTTGTTTAAAAAACAGAAACCAAACAAAAAGAGGAAAAAAAACATAGACCATCTAACAATGGAGTGCCTCTAAGTTCAAGATACTCTTGGATAACAACCCCTTCATCAGACTGACTCTGGTTCTGGTTTATCCAAGGGCTCGAGGGTGATTTTATTATTTACAGTTAAACTGCACCATTTATGATAACCTAAGATATGTGTTCCTGATGCAGGTGATGCACATACATCACATTTCAGAAATACTATGCATTAAAAAGTTGAAATTTTCCTACACTCCAGGTATTCTGGTGATTAAGTTTGGAGGAAAAACAATAGGGAAGAACATGGGCAACATTGAAACTTTCTCTGTCCAAGTTAAAATGCCACACCCTAATTATCTCTAATTCACTCTATGGGTTTGGAGGAGTGGAAATAACACTGTGTGCTCATGTTTGCAGAGAACATTGAATAGCTGTCACATTTCTGTATGTAAACATGAGATTGGATTGTGTTTTGTAGGGCTGTTGCATTTTAAAAGTAGAAAGTTGGATTTTTCCAAATTTCTGACATCTTTGGGAAGCAGCACTATTTGAGAACAGCAATAGGACATCAATTTTCTTTTATCTACTTTTTATACTTCACCTTTGCATGCATTCAGCTGGGGGTCCATAGAAGCACCTTTATATAATATAACGTAGCACCATATTTCTTATAATTTTCTTATTATACTGGGACCCAACCATGGACATGCATACACTCTAAAAACATGATTACCATTTCTAAATGTAGCATCATTTCAAACATTACAAGGCAAGTAATGATTATTAATACAGTACTTTACATGTAGATGATTTTTTACAGTACACATCAAAGAAAGTGCTAAAGTACAAAACTTCCTTGTTTTTTAAGTGTTAGGTAACATGAATATAGGACACACCAATGTATTACATTACATGAATATAAATTTACACACTTGCACATTTTCGGTATCCACTCAACTTTTAAAAGATTAGCAAACATTTATATCCCTACATTTCCCACTTCAAAACTCTGATGATGAAAACTACAAACAACAGCAGCAGGTCTTCTTCAGTACGTGTACATTCACATCACTCTGCCTGCACAAGCACAACCATATAAACACATACAGTTCGAGTTCTAAAAAAAATACTATGGTAAATTATGATGGATATGAATATATTATCCAAATTTATAGCAATGATCTCAGTAATTGTTTAGATGACTATACTGAATGCCTTCTGCTAAAACAAAGTACAGGAATAAAAATCAGAAGATACAGTGAATCTGTGAAGATGCTTTAAGGCGCCAGGGTTGGAAACATTAGCTCCAGTTAACAGTCCAGATTTATTTTTAATCAAGCTATTAATTAAAGTCCAACAACCTGTAGCCCTCAGCCTATAGCCTTATCTTTTCTTTTACTGTCCATGGATGTTGAGATAGTCTCATCTGCTATAAAGAAACAGACTAGTCGGCATGTGGGTTAAAAAAATATACATAAAAAATAAAGCAGTGCTTCCCACCATAATCAGCTGGATTTTTTATACAATAAATGAGATGACTTAAGGCATGCAAAATTTTACCCTCATACTATGAAAACTGTCAAAGTTACAGGCTCTCAAAGTGCATAAGTTTGTTCAGAATTTTTTTTTTTTTTTTAGCCCCCATAACTTTATAAATACAAGAGATAGCAACAGGATTTTTGGTATAAAATGGTATAAAAATGTAAGTAAAAGAGACTTTTCAGATACTATATCATTTTTGACCACCACCTATCCCAAATGGTTATATGACCCTTGAAAAAGTCCATTTTTGGAAAATATGAACGTTTAGTAGACATTAAACTGAAGGGGGTTTTTTCTCTTGAAACTACAATGTACCCCATGACACTGATGAAATTGCTTACATTTAATTTTAAAAACAAAATCACGCTGAACATGTTCATTTGTTTGTAAATTGTGACACTTGCAGTGAATGAAACATTGATTAAAGTTTTTACCAGGACCTAAATGAAAATTTCATGTTGCAAACTCCTGTAATTATGAAGTTATGAGGGCTCAAACATTATGGAGAAAAAAAAAAAGTACGGCTAATTGGTAAAAGTTTGGACTCACCCAATGTACTTACAGCTATAACCAGGGGTGCACATAAGTGGTCCGCAGGTACGTATTCGCTGTCAAAATAAAAGACGCGCACCAGATAAGATGTTGCAACGCGCATTTGCGTACATCAGATTTTCTGTGGGAGGACAGACATTTGTTTAGAACTCTTAAAGATGTCGAAGAAGCAAGCTCCTTTAAGCAATTACTTTGGTATTCCCCCACCTCCAAAGAAATGTCAAAAGGAGTCCGAACCGCAAAAGAAGTGGTTGCAGGAGGTGAGCTGCCTTCAAAAAAATGATGATGAACGCACAGAGATGTGGTGCGGAATATGCCGTAAAAATCCTGCTCTAGCGGTCAAAAACAGTGACTTTTATATGTACGCAAACGCACGTTGCAACTTCTTATCTGGTGCGCGTCTTTTATTTTGACAGCGAATGCGCACCCCTGACTATAACTTAAACAGTTATTTGTTTTGTTTTTTGACTGATTTTCTATGTAAAGCCCCTGAATGATACTAAAGAGAACATATAATAAATGCTAAACAGATTTCTACTTATGTAGTGTTTTTTTTACTCTGAGTACTCAAAGTGGTCAAATATGGCTGCATAAGATGCTTCTTGTGCTTTCATACTTCTGTGATTGTGATTCTGACATATATGATGTTCAGAGCAAGCTTGACAACACATAATTTAAACAAGAAAATTCCACCCTTTACCTGGGAAGCAAACAAATCAAATTCATGCAAATTTAAGGTTGTGAATTTCATGTATTACCATGGTCTTTGTCAGCAAACTGGCAAATTGATCTCAGGAAGTTTTTTAAAGTTTGTGCAGGCCTTCTGTGCTTTCTTTTTTTGTATGTCTCAAAGGTTGGATGCACTGTTACAAATTAAAAAGCTATGTTTAGTTAAACTTAATAACCATTTTGTTTTCCAATTTCGTATTATTAGTATTTATAATACATTTATTTTATTTATTATTATTATTATTAGTAGTATTATTATGTTTTCTGAACAGAACTTTGCTCTCTGGAACTAACTGTAGGAAAAATGGAAAAGAAAATGGAAAACTATACAGCAGAACTAAAAACCTCTCTCTTTGTAGATCCATCTAATGTTTAACACCAATTCATACCTTTGCTATTTTAGCAGATGTGGGTTAAAATAGGCTAAAGTGAACAAACACACAATGACATTTGACTACTCAAAGAATTAAGCATTGTCTGACTAATGACAGCCAAAATATTTTGTTATGTGTCAATTATTATTCAAAAATGCCATATTTGACATTTTTTCACCAGTAGTTTCATGTTCAAGTACTTCTTCACATTGTTCATGTCAACATAACAGAATATTCCTGACATGAACATTTGATTTCACATTATTCTGTGAGATTCTAGAGTCTTGGTACATATGATAATGAAAATTTAATATAGCATTTGCATGAATATACACATATAGATGTTAAACTATTGAGAGCCTCAATAAGAAGCTGTCAAAAACCAACACAGACAATGAAAGGAGTTTTGAAGCACACATCAGCAGATTCTACAAGCAGAGAACTATGATTGTCACTTTACACCAAAGGCATATCTAGAGATGGTTCCTCTATGTCAACTAATTACAAAGCAGCAGAACAAAAGTGCAGCTTTTATTTAAAGTGCTGTTGATTTTGGAATTTTCAAAACGAATATCCATCATAATTTTAAACAATGTCATATTCCACCTCAAACATAATACTTTGTTTTTATGTCCATATCTTGGCCTCAGCCAGTTATTGACATAACCAATATCTAGGGTAGATGAGACAATTTTCCTAATTCTGTGACAATCAATGTTGAATCACATTTCACTAATGAGTTAATTAAATTATTACATTTCATTTAATTTTTTAAAATAAACTGTGCTTTGTACCATATATACTTTGCCATTTATATGAAAATAAAACAACTCTTCACTAGATCATACAACAGACACACCAAACCAATCCTGTGCTTTTCAAGCACAAAAGCATTCCAAGAATTGCCTACTAAAACTAGAAAAAAGAAAAAAAAAACTATTGAAACTCTTTTTTAAATTATTTTTCCTTTTTTCCCCTTCTTCATTTCACTAAATCTCAAATCTGTGAAACTGAGACAAAGACCCCAAAACAGACATGAGGTATCAAATATTAACTTTGACTTGTTTCTGTTCAGATATAAACTTGACAATTAGCTCTGACACCTCTTCATATAAGCATCAGCATCTCGTGGGAAATATGACTTCCTGCATGAGAATTTAAAAAGCTGCCCACCTAATTCAAAATAAAGTTCAAACAGTCAACGTACTTTAGCTTATTAGGACCTGTACTTTAAAAAATATTATCTAATCTCAAAGGGTGTACCTCAGCTCCAGAGGTACTTTCCTTGTAAATTTCCATATTAGAAAGGAATATCGTGTTGTAGCAGACGAATCCCTTTCTGCTTATATTACTATTTCTTTCTTTTTTATAACAGAAATGATGTTGTCACTCACAGTAAAGTACTGCACTGTGTTTCAGTGGTAGTGGGAAGTATAAAGAAGCTACTGGAATTAAGTTAATCATGTTAAGATTAAGCATTAACATGAATCTATTTAATTGATTGGGTTTATGCTTTAAAATCTACTGAAGATAAAACTAGCTTTACCATTTGCACATTTAGAGTTTAGGTACTTCAATTTTTAGGTTTTTGTCCTTTTTAAGGACATTAAGGTTGATCTAGGTTTTTGCCTTATCCTGGTATGATGCTCAAGTCTGGCTTGGGTTCTTTGTCAATGTGACCAGCTCTACTTTCATGCTGGTCACAGAATGCAAACATAGGCAAATATACAGCAAAATGCCATCCAAGCTCATGAATAGCAGCACTTGGATGGATTTTAAGGACTTAAAGTTAAAAATGAACTTACACTTACATTTACACTTTCAAAAAATGTAATCACTTGTTCATCAATAGACAGCAAGGAAAGGTAAAATACAAGGTTCTGCAGGCACAAGCATATTGATTTAAGATTTTCTATAGACCCATTTGAGCTTGATGTTGAGCCCTTTCGATCCCAACACCCCCAATTCACCAGTAAGCACTGGGCTATTTGCTGACATCAAGGTAACAAGCCCAGTTTATACCTTGACTTTGATCTATTTACGTCATATATATTAAAAAAAAACAAAAAAAAACGGACCTGAGCTGTAATAGTGAAAACTGGGTATCAACATCCTCAAAAGACAATGTGTGAAACCATTTTCATAGCACCACACAATATTACAGAATAGGCAGGAAGGTACTTAAAGTATAAACTTTGATGTTTAATTATTCCTCCTCATGCCAAAAATAAATTATGAAAAGAAGCATTCTCTTTGGCAAAATGTTTAGAACTTGTATAACTTGGCTGTAATGAGTGAAAGCCAAAAGATTAAAAACAAAAAACAAAACAAAAAACGGAGGCTTGTTTGTCTAGGTCAAAGTGCATAGACCTCTTCTCTCTATTATTTTAGAACTTTTCTACCATCAGTGTACCATCCGCTATATGTTTCAAATTCATGTGAATAATAGGAAGAGCAGCCACACTCCAAGCAGTCATGCAACATGGTGCATCTTTTTTCAGGTCTACGTTTAGGCTCTGTCAAATGTAGTAAAGACACTGAACGACAGAGGGTGCAGCCACTAAAGATAGCATATTACAATGTTGTGTGTTCAGCAGAACACATGTAAAATACCTTTCCTTCTGTCAATATGTTATGTAAATTTAAGTATTAGGATATTAGTATCACATAAAATAAATAATGTAACTCCAGTAACACAGTTACTCTCTAGAAATGTGACATTAGATCTGTGTGTCTTTCCAGATAGCAGTCAGTTTTTTATTCTTCTGTTGAGCTGTATTTTAGGGTTCCTGAATGGACCGCTACATATATAGTTGTTTTCTAGTTTTATTAACCATTTTTAAGGTAATTATATCAAGTCATCAAGTGATCTAGTCTTTCAGCAAATTCTACAAGCCCATTCTTTTTCAAGTGTTGCAACACAGATTTCACGCAGAAGTCTAAATAAGGTTTAAGTGCTTGTGTTGGATAGAATTACTGGACTTGGATTGCAGTACCTATAAAGTTTTTTTTAATTCATTTTACCTCCCCCATTTTTGTGAATGCAACACACAGTACAACTGCACTCTTATCAAAAACCAGAACATCATGTAGTGCTTTGTGTCCTTGTAATTTAAAGCAGGCTTCTACAGCACATGTCTCCCCCCATCGTTATGCTGCCGAGGTAAGCAGCACATTTTATACATTTCAGGATGCTCTAGTCTGGTCATTTGCACAGATTGATTGGCCTAAAGTACTGCACTGCAGGAAAAGCTGTCACTAAATTCATTTTTGCCAGCATTATCATGGACATTTAAAGCAATGTTTTGTGTCTCATATGAGGCAACATAAACTGGAACTGTTAACATGAATGAAAACCTTCCGGCTGGACCAGTGAAAAGGCAGCACACACCAACAGTATGTGATTAACGTCACAATATGTGTCTTATTTTTCCTCCCCTCCCATCAAGTCTTAACTGGCAGCATTAATCTGTACAACACTCGTTTCCCATTTCCAATTCTGATTCCTGTAATTTAATTTCTTCTCCACTTGTCCAGTTGGGTTGCAAGTGTTCTATAATGCTGCTTGTGTGTATTGCACTTACAGTAAGTTCCAATATATGAGGTATTTTCTTCATTAATAAAAAGGTCCGATTTTTTTCTTTCTATATCATTTCTTAAATTGTACCTATCACAAAACACACTATACTTAACAAATTAACTCTAAAAACTGACAAAATTTCTGCACATTAGTGTGCCATAAAATTGTTAACCATATTGCTTTGGGGGTAAAATATTAACAGATATTATTAGCTTCAACTTTCTATGTAACTTAGAATTAAAGTTTAAGCAAATGAACACTGCACTCTTGAATTTAACAGGGAGGCATGAGTATGGTATGGGGGAGCGCAGGGATGCAGCTGGCTCAGGACCCTGGGATGGCCCTGACTAAGTGGCTACAACACAATAATGAGAAAATGATGACTGACTTCTTGGCATGTTAAAAATTTTGAGTTTATCAGCCCTTGGCAAATAAACTGAAAAGTTAATGAAGTACATCGTATCTGAGTAGTATGGTAGGGACACATACAGTACATCATATTATTGTCCCATCTGGACAAAACTGAAACCCTAAATTAGGCTACATGCTAAAAGCACCATGAAGGTCAGTCCTCCTGTTCCTCACTGTCTTGCTGGCCATCTGTCCTTTTATCTTTGTGACAAGAAAAGATTCGTCGCATCTCCTCCTCGTACCTGATGAAATTCTCTCCGAATCTAGCCCAGGCTTTTAGGGGAACTGTGATGGTGTTTCTATACGGCTGTCGCACTTCGCTGATTTTTAAAAAGATACCATACCGGTTTGAACCCACATCAAAGTAAAACCTTTTGTTGTCCACTCGAAAAGACGCAGCCTCTGGAAGCTCGGGGTTGTCGTTGCGATTCCTGGAGCCTGCTCGGCTGCGGTCTTCGCTCTCTTCGTCCCCGTAGTCTTCAATCAGCTGTGACAGAGCGTCTCTGAACTCAATCAGTCCCTGTGCGGGTAACACTATGGTCTGCTCGATGCCCTGGCCGTAGTAGCCCATTGTGCCGTGTCCTTTGCTGACAGTCTGCCGTATGCGGAGGAATCTGCCTCTCTGGTTCTCCTTCAGGTCCAGAAAGTACTTTCTGTTGTCTCGCTCAATAAATTCGCTCTTGAGAACACGATGTGCATGGTCATCGGACACAACAGAACCGGTGGGGGACAGGTTCGCGTGATGCTCCTGCGCTCTCTTACGGGAGTCGTTCCCGCGGCCCTGGCCATTGTTACTGTGGTCCTCGACCTGCGGAGGCGCCAGCCCCCCCCGCAGTCCAATGCGGGCGTAATAATCTATAAAGTCTCCCAGACAGTAGCGTAGAGCGGGAGCCATCGACATAGACAGTGTCAGCTTGCTCTTTCTGATGTTATCATGACGGCCCCTTCCTATCCACACCTCGGCTATTTTAAGGAAACGGCCGCGTACACTCTGCTTGACATCCAGATAAAAGCGTTTCTTCTGGATGTCGACGCGTTTGGAAGCTAATTCTTGGATGTCATTTCCTTGCTGCTGTGACCAGGTCTGAACATATTGCTGAGGAAATGCATGTCTTGGTAAAGAGTCTGATGCAATCTTACCCCTGCCTCTTTCCATTCCTTTGCAACATCCATCAGCCATCATGATTTATATTCCACCACTAGACAGCACAGGACAACGCGTTTTGTCCATTACAAAGGGAAATTAACAGGCGAATAAAGCAGGCTTACTCATACAAATATCTGGAGCAACAAACAATTTAGCGAGATGCCTCGAATGACCTGAAAATGGCAGCTAGTTTGGAATCATCAGCTGGTCGACTTTCTGTGTCCCGATAAAAGGTCAAGTTCTCCTATTTAGCTATTTCCAGTGCAGACCTACATTCCATTTTCTGTCAAGTATTTGCCTTATACCTCCCCTTTTACTAAGGGAGCTAGGGAAACAACCAACCTGAAATGGGAGGAGGCGTCCAATACTACATGAACCCGATGAACCTATCCACCCCCCTCCCCGTCCTGAGAATACCTCAGTTAAAGAGACACGACTTTTATTCTAACCGAAGGGTGCAATTCTGATACACTCACATTTTTTAGACAGACTTTAGGAGAATTTGGGTAAAACTTGTAAGATGATTATTATGACACAAAAACCCCTAATATCTCAAATTATGGCATTCGTAAATCAGAACAGAGGATTGAAATAAAATACCAAAAATTAAATCATCGTCTTTGTGAAACAGTCAAACTGCTGCCTGTAGACTACTATTGCTTTACATATTTTGAAATTGATTAATCATCTTGACGTCACAGTACAGCTGCATCACTAAGACTAACAATGATCAATGATCAACAATGGACAATGAGGTCAGTTCCATGATCATTAATATACAAATTGGCATTACCATTGATCATAACAATGATAGCTTTGGTCCTCAGATTTCGTGGAGGATGAGAGATGTCATCATGATGGCAGATGAAACAACAGTCTTTTATCATCTTAAAACACAGCGACCAGGGAGCAGAAGAACATCATATCAAGAATGCCCTGAGTAAAAGTTGTTATCCCAGCTGGCCATTTGTCACAGCTGGGAAGGTACCTAAAGAATTCTCCAGGCTATCCAGGACAGCTCTAATCTCTCTGTCCTCTCTCCATCCTCCCCGCTTCTTCTTTGTTCTGACAATCACATACAAATGCATTTTAATCAAATAGAAAATAAACATGAAAATATAATTTTATAATAATTATTATAACAGCAGGTAGGGGATCCCCATTTGATAACAATATAACACAACTTAGTTATGTGAAATCATCATTAATGAATGTGCACAAAACAGGAGTTACATCAGCTTTATAATTTTTTGTTAACTTTGACTACATGTCCACTCTTACCTGTTTTTTTTCCCTTTGTATTATCTCTGCTTCTTTGCTGTCTTCACCCTGCTCTCTCTCCTCTCTTGGTGTTTGTGCTGTCACCATAAGTTAAATTTAACAGTGAAACATAATTTACAACCTGATAAAAGATATGAACCAATCCATATCAATTTATAGCAATATTCAAATTAATTCTGGGCTCCTGCTGGCCATTGACAGGTAACATCCTTTTGACTTACTGTCACCTGAAACTGGAGCTTCACTGTAAACCAACAAACCAACCAGTGATATGTCAGCAGTCAGGTTGCTCAGAAGATTAAAATGAGCTAATAATCTCTAGTGATACATTTGCTAAAATTTTGATGCACTTAAGAGAGCAAATGCACATAAGCAGACACATTATAAGTCATGTAAAGAGCTTAGGAAAAGCGATTGTTCTTCCTTAATTTTCTTGAAGACATTTCACCTCTCATCCCTGCAGCACATCTGGGACACCACCTAGCCACTGGTACAGATATGTGGATGACACTTGCATCAAAATCAAAACCCAAGAAGTAGAAGCATTCAGTGTTCACATCAGGGGCAATTCTAGGATCAGAGCTTTGGGGGTGCTGAGCACCCAGAGAGCTGCCCATCCAGGCAAGGTAAACTTTACTCGTCATAATGAGACGTCTTCCCCGTCTCTGTCAGTCCCTGCATCCTTAAATGTCTCCAGTTGTACCAAGTTCTCTCTGACTGTCTCCTTGGTGCATTTAAACCCCTGTTCCTCCCTGTCCTCATCATCTGTTGCCTTCATCTCCATTATCAGTCATCAGTCATTTACCCTCTCTTTTTTCTTTTTCTTTTTTTT